CAGAGCTCAGGTTTGGGAGTCTCTGGCTCAACTCTGCTGGTAACCGTCATGCTGCTGAGTGCCTCAGTGCCCCTAGCTGGCACACGAAAGTGACATTAGGTGCTCAAGGGGCTGCTGAACTGTGAGATGAAACCGGCTGGAATTGGGCACTGGCTAATACAGCGTGAAGCCCACAGTGAGCCTTTTTATTTAAAACTCTTCAATTCCTTCTGGAAAGAGGGTACAAACTTGGACTTGAGGCTCTGACATAACTTCTCTGCAAAGTCTCAGCTTTTTTTGCAATTTCATACACGGTTTGGTTTTCTGAACATGGAGCTGTGTTTGTGTATGTTGGCCAGACACACAACATGTGTGGACCTTCCAGGACAGCGTGTTCTTGAGACGTCTGAGTTCTCACAGATGCCCTTGGCTGTTGCTGGGACACTGTGGTTCCCAAAGCTTAAATCAAGCCACTGCCAAGCAGGAGTCCAGAGAGCTGGGAGGAGGCTGGGTTTTCCTCCCAAGCCAATTATGGATTCTTTCCTGATTTATTCAGTCTGGCTGCAGCCTTGGGTAGCCCCAGAACTAAAGCATCAAGGAGAGAATGGCACAACCCATGCTAAGCAGGGCCTACCTAGCTACGGTTTAGTTGGGAGAGAGAGGCCACCAAGAAGCAATGGACAGCATGAACTTACCCCAGTGCAATGTTAGCCAGCACTTGGTTAGAGAAGAAAAAGAGCAAAATGTTTGAAGAGTTGCAGGATCATTTTTATTTATCAATTATTTATTCAGTAAACATTTGCTGAACACCAAATGTGTGCTGAGCAAAGTACTCATCTCACACTGCTTCCTGCTACACACACCCACTCACATACTCGCATGGATTCATTTCCACACACTTGCTCACACACACACACATACACACACACAAGCTCTACACTGCTTCTGCCCTATTTTTTGCCTCAAACTTCCCATGCCCTCTCATCCCCAGGCACTGCTATTCCCTCTGCCTGGGACTTGTTCCCTACTTCCCACTCTCTCTAAGTCTTATACTCATTGTTCAGATTCAATTTTATTTCATTTCTTCCACAGGAAAACTTCCACAAGTCACCCCCACCCTACTTCAGGCCACTAGCACTCAGCACACACACAGACATGGTACCATGTATGTCCCCACTAGGGCATTTATCACATCCATGCGTGCGTTTAACAGTGCATGTGCCCCTACTGTGCTACAGGCCCTCCGCCAAGATGACAGTGCAATTGTTTAATCACTTTTCTCTCCCTCTATGGACTGTGACTGTTATACTATTATAAAGGACTGGTGGCACAGTGGATAAAGCGTTCAGCTGCTAACCAAAAGGTCAGAAGACTGACCCTACCAGCCACTCCATAGGAGGAAGATGAGGTAGTCTGCTTCCATAAAGATTTACAGCTTTGGAAACCCTATGGGGCAGTTCTATTCTGTCCTATAGGGTCACTATGAATGAGAATCCACTCAATGGATGTGGGTTTTACTCTGTTATAGTCCCAATCCTAGCATAGAGCCTAAAACAAAATAGGTGCTCAAACAATTTTGGTAAATGAATGAATGGATGAGGTTAAAATGAAAATAAATAAATAAATACAGCCCTTGCCCTCTAGGGGTTTATCATCTAATGAAGACAAGTAACTTAATAAAGACAGGCAAAAAGAAGCACAGGTGTGATGGCAAAGTGTGATTCCCACCCTCTGACCAGGTGTCAGAGGCCCTGCATTTGAACGCTTGCACTTTGGTCCTCTTAGGTGTGTAAAGTTGTGAACACAACCACCCTGACCTGCCTGGCACCCTCTCTGACCACGGACTACCGGCCCGGCCTGGACACTGTGGAACGGCCAGACGAGTTTGGATTTGTCTTTAACAATGTCCAGTCCTTGCTGATTTACAACGACACCAAGTTCATCTACTACCCCAACCCAACCTTTGAACTGCTGAGCCCTACTGGAGTGTTGGATCAGAAGCCAGGATCACCCATCATTCTGAAGGTAGGTGCGCACCCCAAGGGGAGTGTTGCCGTGTACATTTCCTAGAGAGGGAGCCCTTCTGTCTCCTGGCCTTCCTTGTCCTCATTTGTACTCCCCATGCTGTCATTTCCTGTAAAGGAGGTTATTTATAGGTATTGACCTACCGAGCAATATATCTTGCTCTTAGGATTCTCAAGAAATGCTTTAGAATATTTCTGTTTGAGACTCAGAAGTCTGTGACAAGTTAGAAATAACTATCCTTTTAATGGCTACTTCCATGGCTGCAGTAACCTGCACATATACGTCAAGAGATCCCAGTTCCCTGCTTCTGTCATCCAAATGTTTGGTACTCGACTACTTTCATTTATACCCCCATGTGTCCTCCTTTTCAAGAAGCCCTGGTGGCTCAGTGATTAGTGCTCAGTTGCTAACCAGAAGGTCGGTAGTTCAATCCCACCAGTTGCTTTGCAGGAGAAAGATGAGGCAGTCAGCTTCTGTAAAGATTACAGCCTTGGAAACCCTATGGATCAGTTTTGCTCTATCCCATAGGGTATCTATGAGTTGGAATCAACTCAGAGGCAATGGGTTTGTTCAGTGTTTTATCCTCCCTTCTTCTCTCCTACTCTCTTCCATTCTCTCATCCCTTCATTTTCTCTCTTTCTCTCTAAATCATGGCTGTCAGAAGTCCCCTCCAAAAAGCTAGCTTATGGAGTCATTTACTGGTTTTTGCATTGCTGTCCTTCCTTGTCTTAATCTCTTTCTAAATAGGTATTTCACTTCCATGTGCATGTGTCAATTATTCCTATTAAAATTTCTGTTTTCCACAGGGCAAAAACCTCTGCCCGCCTGCCTCTGGAGGTGCCAAGCTCAACTACACAGTCCTGATTGGAGAGACCCCTTGCGCTGTCACTGTGTCTGAAACACAGCTCCTCTGTGAGCCTCCCAACCTCACAGGGCAGCACAAGGTCATGGTGAGCAAACCCCTCCTCTTTAATTGCTTCTCTTCTCCTCACTGTGCTTGCATGATCTGTCATAAAGAAAAGCTCTCTTGTCCGGTGAAGACTCTATTCCTCTTCCCTGCCTCATTGCCTGGCTCCCACCCTCCGTGTCTTCTCCCCTCCATGTTCTACATTAAATGGGTAGGAGTTGAGAACATAAGAAAAGGTGGCAGATAATCAGCAGGAAGTTGTTTTGTAGCCATATCTGCACTGTGTGGTTGTGGTCCATAATGTCCTTCCTGAACTGGCAAGGATTTGATGGCATGCCAGGGCTCTACACCTGTGTGCATCATGTGTGTCTGTGTGTGTACAATGCACAGGTTCACGTGGGCGGGATGGTGTTCTCTCCTGGCTCGGTGAGCGTGATCTCAGACAGCTTGCTGACCCTGCCAGCCATTGTGAGCATTGCGGCGGGCGGCAGCCTCCTGCTCATCATCGTCATCATCGTCCTCATTGCCTACAAGCGCAAGTCTCGAGAAAACGACCTGACTCTCAAGAGGCTCCAGATGCAGATGGACAACCTGGAGTCCCGCGTGGCTCTGGAGTGTAAAGAAGGTAAATGGGGGTGTCCTCCTGCTTTCTGGGCCCCTCTTTCTTCACCTGCCTTCCTCTGCTTTTCCCCACAACTTCTCATCTTCATTCCCATTTCTCCCAGCCCAAGTAGTTATACTTCACTTACACCTCCTTTTCCCCAGAAACATTTTTTGCCCTTATTAGCTGCCTGTTCCCTGACTCATGGTGCCCGTGCACAACAGAACAAAACCCTGCCCGGTCTTGCTCCAGCCCCATGATCAGTTGCAGATCAGTCCCTTTTTGCCCTTGTTGTTGTTGTCAGTTGCCATCTAGTCAGCTCCAACTCATGGTGACCCCATGTGTACACAGTAGAACTGCTCCACAGGGTATTCAAGGCTGCGACCTTTTGGAAGCAGATCACCAGGCCTGTCTTCAGAGGCAGCTCTGGATGGGCTTGAACCTACCACCTTTTAGATACTAGGTAAATACGTCACTTTTGTGCCACACAGGGACTCTCCTTTTGTCCTTAAGGCCAGGTAATTCCCATTACGAATACTCACCCATGAGGACCCAGGTCGGATGGCGTCTCTCTGGTCCCACGTCCACCCTGACTCACCCCATTATCTGGCCAACTTCCTCACCCTCCTAGGGCCTCAGTCACCCCACATGAGAGCCTCTAGTCTCTGTTATCTCAGTCTCTAGGTCCCCCACTTGGGAGTATAGGCTCCCACGTGGAAGCATCAGCCCCGAGGGGGAGCACAGCTCTCCTCCCTCCCCACCGCTCCCCTCTCCAGGCATTGTTTTCTCTCCGTGCTGGAGGCTGAGCTGATCCCAAGGCCTCTGCTTGCTGCCGTCCTTGGCTGTGGATATATGGATGTGTGTGTGGGTGGAGATTATGTTTTAGTCCATCTCCCACGCAACCGCAGCCATGAGGTGATGGGTGTACCTGGCGTCATCCTGGGCTGAGGACCTGGCAGGCTTTCTGGGTAAACATCTCAATTAGGAATCAAAACATTTCTCTTTTTTCTGCAAATGTCAAGATCAGAAATAAGCCTGCTGCCAAGTGAAAGAGAGCTAGGCTGAGGAAAGATGGGACAGAGTCTCCTCCTGGCACTGGGGCTGGTATGGAGGGGAGAGGAAGACACCAGGAAGGTAGACCTGCCCCTGAGATGGAGCCTCTGAGGCCCTGCACTACGCAAACTTGCTCATCAGCCAAGAGTCTAATGACCAGGGCTCCCCAAGGTTCTTGCATCTTGATGTATTCTCTTGGCTGGAAAAGGGGAGCCCAGCTGCCTGTTCTGGTCTTTGCCTGATTCCCTCAGCCACTCCATTCTCTCATGTACTTGCAGCACCCACAGGATCTTTACTGAATGGCCCATGTTTCTTTATTTTCCTTTGTTTTAATTACATCTATAACACATAGAAAGAAAATTTAAATTTATAGATAAGGAAAAAGGAGAAAATAATATAAAATTCACCTGTATTCCCCAAAACCAGAAAGCAAATCAGTTGTTGTCAATCACTTCTGATTTATGGCAACCCCACTGTGCCAGAGTAGAACTGTGCTCCAAAGTCTTTTCAATGGCTGTGATCTTTTGAAGGAGCTCTGGTGGTATAGTGGGTAAGGCATTTGGCTCTTAACCAGAAGATTGGCAGTTCAAACCCAGTAGCTGCTCTCCAGGAGGAAGATGAGGCAATCTACTTCTGTAAAGATTTATAGCCTTGGAAACCCAATGGGGGTCACTATGAGTTGGAATTGTGATCTTTTGGAGGGAAATTGCCAGGCCTCTCTTCCAAGATGTGGGTGGACTTCAACCTTTTAGTAGCCAAGCTCTTAACTGTGTGCACCACCCAGGGATACCACCGAAGAAAGGTAGACTAGAGATCATCTCATTCCTCTCTGGAGATAAGTTCTATAACTTGCCTGCCTGTGCACCCCTAGCTCTGTCCTTTCTTCACAAACTTACTCCTCCCTGACCTGAGGTTCCCATCCTGAACCTCCCCACCTCCTGTGCACTCCCACAGCTTTTGCCGAGCTCCAGACAGACATCAACGAGCTAACAAGTGACCTAGACCGCTCAGGAATCCCCTACCTGGACTACCGCACCTATGCCATGAGAGTTCTGTTCCCGGGCATCGAGGACCACCCCGTGCTACGGGAGCTGGAGGTAAGGTCTGGGTTTCACAGGAAGTCTAGATGGGGCCCTGAGGCATGGAGCCAGGTCAGGAGTGAGGCAGGCAAGTCATTCATCACAGTATCACAGCCATGGAGGGACACACCCAGGCTTTTTAGGATGATTCTAGTGTGAGGCTCATTGTTTGCTAGTTTTTAATTAATTAACTAAGATCCTGCCTCATTGAAAATGGATTTGAAGTAGCTTACAAAAGGACATTGACACAGTGGCTGCAACAATGGGTTCAAATACAGCAACAATTGTGAGGATGGTATGAGACTGGGCAGTGTTTCATCCTGTTGTATACGGGGTCACTGTGAGTCAGAATCAACTCAACAGCACCTCGTAATAACAACAGAGAAAGACATATGATTCTGTGAGATTTATTTGTTTGTTTGCTTGCTTTACTAAAGATAATAAATCAGGGCAGGGGAGAATGGGGAGACTAGTCGACTAAGTCCAATGAGGTATCTTCTCTTGTATCCTTGGGAAAGTCAGACCACATCCCCACCAAGTCTGCATACAGTCCAACGCTCTCAACCCAGAGGAAGGCCAGCTGTAGACCTCACACTGCCCCAGGGCCTGGCCAGGCCTACATGGTCATAGTGGGGGAAGTAGGGTAGGATAGTTAAAGGCATGATGGAGAAAGCCCTGTTGCAGGCATCATCTCCAGCTAAGGCCTATAGTAAGAGCCGAGGGTGGGAGGTGGGAAGGCTGTCCCCTGAGGCCCCTGCCCCTCCCGCCCACCCCAGGTGCAGGGGAATGGTCAGCAGCATGTGGAGAAGGCCCTGAAGCTCTTTGCCCAGCTCATCAACAACAAAGTGTTCCTGCTGACCTTCATCCGAACCCTGGAGCTGCAGCGGAGCTTCTCTATGCGGGACCGTGGCAACGTGGCCTCGCTCATTATGACCGGCCTGCAGGGCCGCCTTGAGTATGCCACCGATGTCCTCAAGCAGCTACTCTCGGACCTCATCGACAGGAACCTGGAGAATAAGAACCACCCCAAGCTGCTTCTCCGGAGGTCTGACCTGGGGCGGGGGCAGATGGAGGTCTCTGAACAGACATAGGTTCTCAGAGCAGCCTCATAAGCAGCAGGAGAGGGTTCCAACTGCCCAGATATGATGCTGATGTGGCCTGGTCCATGAGTCTCCCCAGTGCAGAGGTTGATCTTCTCTGGCTCAGGGAGACCACAGAGAACATCTGAAGCAGCTACGTGTAGTAGAGGAGCACAAGTCTCAGCTGTAGCCCCAGCTCTGCTGCCTGCCAGCTGTGTGATCTTGGGCTAGTCACTTGATCTCTCTGATATTTTGATTCCTCATCCACAAAACGAAAATAACACCTCTCTTGCAGTCTCCCTCCCCCTGCATCTAGAGCTTTGCTGTCCATCATAGTAGCCACTAGCCACATGTGGCTATTAACTGAAATTCAGTACAATTAAAAATTCAATTCCCCAGTTGCCGTAGGCCAATTTCAAGAGCTTAATACCCACGTGCAGCTAGTTGACCACCATTGTACAGCACGGATAAGGAAATTTCCATCCTCACGGAACGGTCCACTGGAGAGCACTAGGCTGAGGACTGAGAGCTCTGGTAGCATAGTGCCTAAGGCACTTGCCTGCTGACCAGGAGGCTGGCGGTTCAAACCCACCAGCCACTCCTCGGAAGGAAGGTGGAGCAATCTACTTCCATAGTGATACTGCCTTGGAAACCCAAGGAGGGGTCGCTATGAGTCAGGTCCGACTCAACGGGACATAACAAAAACAACAGGCTGGGAACTGGGGACTGCTTGGCCCTCTTGTGCCCAGCTTCCTGGGTCTACATCACCAGCACCCTGCCACATCCCCAGTTGCGATTTCTCTGAAGGCCCAGGAGAGCCAAGCCAGTGCCTCTAGGCAGCAGGGAACGTCACAGTCCACCTCCACTCCACACCCCTCCTCTTTAGCCTTCTCCCTGGAAGGGCTCGAGCTTCCATGCCCTACCCGTGCCTGTGTGCCTGCCTGCCAGGTGGGGGAAGGGGAAGAGTGGCTTTGTTTTATGAGCACCGAGCCCCCCTCTTGCCAATCTGAGCATTAGAAACTCTCATTAAGAACTGTTGTATTTAAATTAGAGCTAATCTCAGGCACAAAGCAGGGAGAGGGTGCTGGGAGGGGCCCAGGGAGAAAGCTGCAATTTCTTCTGCCATTGTCGCTCTCTCCCAGGCCCATAGTGCTGAGCAGCCCTGGCAAATGCCTGGGATTTACTGCAACCAGAGTGTATAATTTGCACCATGTGCAGGGAGTTAAAATACCCCTCCGGCATCGCCATCACTGAGGGTCTGTCACTGCCTCTTTGTTCCTTCCCAAGTCCCTGAATCTGTAGTCCAGGAAGGGGGGAATGAGAGGAAGGGGGATGGGCACTTACCAAGCAGGTCCTTTGTCAGCTAAACCCTTATGCACTGCTGTCTACCTGAGGGGCTGGAATCAAGACCCCATTTGGCGGCAATAATAATCTCTAATTCTTACTTAGAGCTTACTGTGGCAGGCACTAGTCTTAGCTCTTTCCATATATTAATTCATGCAACCCTTCTAAAAACTCTGTGGTAGAGATATTATTAGTATCCCCATTTAGAGATGGGGAAACTGAACCCAGAGAGGTGAAATTACTCGCCCAAAGTCACCCAGCCAGAGCCAGGATTTGAACCCATCCAGACTAGGTCTGAGTAGCTCTGGGATGTCCAGAGTCCAGGGGCACAGGAGAGAAGGGCCTCAGCTCCCTAACTCTGAATCCTTGAAGGGCAAGTGCCAGGTGCTTCTCCAGCTTGTGAGAAATCCCAGAGGGGCAGGAAACTCTCTTTTTAATTACCCTGCAGTCAGAAGGGAACGGGGAGAACTAGTCCTTTCTAGTCTTTGTGTCCAGACCCTATCTCAGTTATAGCCAAAGCAGTTCATAGTACCACAACCCACCAGGGATGAGTGGTCCTGCCTCTTCATTTTAGAAAGAAACCGGGGCCCAGCAAGAAGCAGCCCCTACCCCAGTCACAACTGTAGTTGCTAGCAGAGCTGGGCTAGGACCAGGTGTCCTGGCTCCCAGCCCTGTGCTGTCTCATGCCCTGTTGTTCTCTGGGTTTATGGCTCACACAACAAGCCCTGGCCTCACCAATGAGACCCCTCCAGAGAGGATTGACTTCATCCCTTCTCCCCTCCCCAGGACAGAGTCAGTTGCTGAGAAGATGCTGACCAATTGGTTTGCCTTCCTCCTGCACAAGTTCCTGAAGGTGAGAATGGGAGTGAGTTGGCGCCCAAAGTTGAGAGCAGTTGGGGCTGCTGCATGGCAACCCCAGACTCAGGAACCTGCCTTGCCTGGGTGCTCCCAAGCAAAGTGGCCCATGCAGCCCCTCCCCATGGCCCTGGGGTCAGGAGAGGAAGGGAGGGTGAGCAGCCTAGGAGGCGGGCCCACACTCCCCTGCACCTGCCTGTGCCCACAGGAGTGCGCTGGGGAGCCGCTCTTCATGCTGTACTGTGCCATCAAGCAGCAGATGGAGAAGGGCCCCATTGATGCCATCACAGGCGAGGCCCGCTACTCGCTGAGTGAGGACAAGCTCATCCGACAGCAGATTGAGTACAAGACTCTGGTGAGGAGGCCAGGAATGCAGTAGACAGCACTTCTGATCCACACTCTACCACTTGACCACAAAGGCAGTCTCAGGGGATAAATAGGAAGCTGAGAGACCAGCCTAGGGGCCAAGTTCAAAGAACATACTGAGTGTACTGAGGGCATGGAAGATTTGGCCATATTGGAAGCCTGGGCTTCTTCCTCCTCCACCATCTCATTTGGTGGGCCCAAATTGCTCTCTCAGCCTCAGTTTACCCTAGATATTATTTGGGGGGGGGCAGTATATATCACCTACCATTAGGTATGAGATAGGGGGATTCAGTGGTAGAATCCTCACCTTCCACGCAGGAGACCCCGGTTCAGTTCCCGGCCAGTGCACCTCATGTGCAGCCACCACCCATGTGTCAGTGGAGTCTTGCATGTTGCTGTTATGCCGAGCAGGTTTCAGCAGAGCTTACAGACTAAGACAGACGAGGAAGAAAGGCCTAGTGATCTACTTCTGGAAATCAACCAATGAAAATCCACCCTATGGATCACAATGGTCTGAACTGCAGCCAATTGTGGGAATGGTGCAGGAGCAGGCAGTGAGTGCTGTGTTCAGTTGTGCATGAGGTTACCATGAGTTAGGGGCATACCAGACAACAGCTAACCAGAAAGATAAGCATTATGGGAAAGAATGTGAATATGCTGATTCTAATGTAGAGGCTTTGGGGAGTGTAAGGCCAGCCCTTCACATACCTGGAATTGTCTTTAAACCCCTAGGACATCTATTTCCAGGATGATAGTCTGCCCTTAGCCATCCCGGATCTAGAAAGTAGAGTCTTAATTCCCTGAGGAAAGAGGGGTGGCCACAATAACTCAGGTTCTTGTTTAGCAGATGGCAGGAAGAGGAGCAAAACTGAGGCACACTCCATAGAGAGTATAAAGAAGGTGAAATGTGGGAAGAGGAGATTCTGAGACCTCAGTCCCTCTCCCTCAACCTGCTCCTTTCCTTCCCATCCTGCTCACCCTCTGTCTCCTACTTTTAGATCCTGAACTGTGTCAACCCTGACAATGAGAACAGTCCAGAGATCCCAGTGAAGGTATTAAACTGTGACACCATCACGCAAGTCAAGGAGAAGATCCTAGATGCTGTGTATAAGAATGTGCCCTACTCCCAGCGGCCAAGGGCTGTGGACATGGACTTGGGTAAGAGACCTAGCCTTGGAGTATGGGGCAGGAATGGAAAATCAGCTTCCAGGAAGGTATTCAGGCTATGGGATGGGATGGGCAGAAGGGAAGCCTACCTGCATACAGCCCCTCTTGTGGCATGACTGGGTCCTGCCCAGGTATGGGGCCACATCAGACATAGCTGTCTCTGATGAGGCCTGCACTTCGCCCTCACTGTCCTTGACCACATGGAGTCCTAGCTCCTCTGAGCTCTATCATAGGCAGGTGCTTGAGGGAACCAAGGTTGCCAGGTCTCTAGAGGAGGCACAGCTGGGTGAATCCTGGCTCCTAGCCCACACTCCTCTCACTCTGCTCCCTGCACCATCCCCTTCCACCCAGAGTGGCGCCAAGGCCGGATTGCCCGGGTCGTGCTGCAAGATGAGGACATCACCACCAAGATCGAGGGCGACTGGAAGCGGCTCAACACACTGATGCATTATCAGGTGAGGGGGTGTTCCAATGTGTCCAGGGACTTGGGACAATGGACCTTTGGTTTCCCTCAATCCTTTTTCCCTCTAAGCCTTCCTCTACACCTTGAAATCAGCCAGTGGAAACCCTATGGATCACATCAGTCTGATCTGCAATCAATTATGGGTAGCATTTCATTCCATTGTGCACAGGGTCGACTTGACAGCAGCTAACAACACTCACCCACTGCTATCATGTTGATTCTGACTCATATCGATCCTCTAGGACAGAGTAGAACAGCCTCATAGGGTTTCCAAGGCTGTAAATCTTTATGGAAGCAGACTGCCTCATCTTTCTCCTATGGAGCAGCTGTTGGGTTTTGGTTACCAGTCCAGTGCTTTAACCACTGCACCACCAGAGCCCCTTAACAACAACAACAACAGGCTCTTAACAGCCTAAAAGGTGTTTTCTTATTTCTCCTTTTCCTCCTCTTCTTTGAGCCTAGAGCAGTGATTCATAGCCAAGTTGCCCATTAGTATGACATGGAGGAAACTTATAAATGACATCAGTGCCTAAGCCCTAACCCCAGAGATTCTGATTAACCAGTCTGGGGTAAAGCCAAGATATTTTTGGCTTGTTTATCTCTGTCTCCAGTTAAAAAAAAAAAAAAAGAAAGAAAGAAAAGAAAAGAAACTCATTTGCAAAGTCCTCCAAATAGACACCATAAGGGGCCTACTACTTTCTCTTTAAACCAAATCTACTACCATCAAGTCAATTCTGACTCATGGTGACACTATAGGACAGAGTAGAACTGGCTCATAGGGTTTCCAAGGCTATAAATCATTATGGAAGCAGACTGCCTCATCTTTGTCCCACAGAGCAGCTGGTGGTTTCGAACCACTGACCTATTGGTTAGCAGCCAAATGATTTAACCACTGCACCACCAGAGTGCTTCTCTTTCTCCTTAGGGAATCTTAATAATGTAACTTACACTTTTGACCATTAGTGGGAAAAGATGAAGGAGGCTTGGTGGCACAATGATTAAGCACTTCGCTGCTAACTGAAAGTTCAGCAGTTCGAATTCATCAGTCACACCACTGGAGAAAGATGAGGCAGTCTGCTCCTGTAAAGATTTACAGCCTTGAAAACCCTATGAGGTGGTTCTACTTTGTCCTACAGGGTGACTGTTGTCACTGTGAGTCAGAATCAACTCGATGGCAGTGGGTTTTATACTATTATAGCTCAAACAACAGGGAAAAGACAGTCTTCAAGTCCTAGCTGTCACTTACTAACTAGTGTCCTCAGGGAAATTAAGTTCTCTTTCTTCTCATCTGTAAAATGGGGTTAGTATGATCCCTGCCCCATAATGTTGTGTTGAACAGATGAAATGTAGTATGTAAAACTGTCAAACACACTGGCAGATACAGTGAAGGAAGAGTCAGAAAATCAAAGAACAAAAGATCTGGCAGCGTCCACCCCCACCTCCCTCCTCTCCCATGGTAGATGCTCACTGCTGGGGGTCTCTGTAAGATTAAGCACAGGTAGGCAGGTTGGAGTCAAGAAAAATACTAAAATAGAAACTGGAAATGAGAAACACTGAGGAAAATTAAACCAACCAGAGGAAGCGCCTCAGGCTACAATACCACATGGGATTGCCTGATTAACATCTGCCTGTGTCCGTGCCTTACGAAGGGGGCTGGCAGGCCTGGCTTCTAAGTACCAAGTTGCCAAGAGCCAGGCTGCTAGAGGCACAGAGGGAGCATGGGATAAGGGGGATTGTAGGGGGTGGGGCCACTACAGATACCCTGAGACACTCTTCTCCCCAGCATCGCTGTGCCTGCTGTCTGGACCACTGTGCCATGTGTAGTGGGGAGAGAAAAGGCTTTGGACATTGTATTTAAACCCTCACTTCACTCCTCACTGGCAGTGTGGCTTTACCCTCTCTATCCTTGGGCTTTTTATCTGTAAAATAGAGATAACAAGGCCAACTTGTCAAGGTGGTTAGAAGGATTAGAAACAATTGATGAGTTACCCAAGATGTTTACAGCCATGTGAAGAAGAACCACAGTCATTGGGTCAATTCTGACTCATAGCAACTCTACAGGACAGAGTAGAACTGCCCCATATGGTTTCCAAGGCTAAAAATCTTTACAGAAGTAGATTGCCTCATGTTCTTCCCATGGAGTGGCTGATGGGTTCAAACCGGTGACCTTTTTGTTAGGAGCCGAATGCCTTAAGCACTGTACCACCAGAGCTCCTTACAGCAATACAAGGTAACTACAATTACGCCCTATTAATTACACACACATCTGTCCCTGGGTCATGCAATTGGTTAAGCACTTGGCTGTAAACTGAATAGCTGGCAGTTTGAATGCACCCAGAGGTGACGTAGGAAGATAGGCCTGGGAGTCTACTTCAGAAACATCACAGTCATTGAAAACCATATTAAAAACTTATGGAGTTCTACAGATATGAGGTCTCCATAGTCAGAATCAATTCAGTGACAACTGTTCTTTGTTTTTACAATTCACGTGGTGTTTAATACATCCAGTAGGACTACTGAATAGGAAGTTCAGAGGAGAATAGGGTTCTGTCCCCTACATTGTAAGTTTCTAAAGGGTGAGTCTGGGGCAGTTCTTCCTCTCTAGCTCTGATGTTCTGACATTTGCTCCTGAGCTCTCTGTCCTATGGCTCCTGGATGAAAGAATGGAATATTCTGTTCTGTGGTGCTCATCATACAAAGCACTTTCAATTCCCTGATGTCATTTATCATTCATGTATTCATTCATTCCTCAAATATTTACAAAGCTTTACTGAGTGCAAGGCACTTCCCACATAGTAGCCCTGAGTGACAGGGGACAACATGGATTTTTCTTCCCTTTGGAGATGTGATGATGATGATGATAAGAGCAACACTAATAGCCAACACTTACCAAGTGCTTGCTGTGTGCCAGGCACTGCTCTCAGTCTTCAATGTGTCTTAACTCCTTCAGTCCTTACAGCAACTCTGTGAGATAGACATCATTATTATTTCCATTGACAAATGAGAAAATGGTTACAGAGAAGGTAAGTGATTTTCCTGAAGTCACACAGCTGGTAAGTGGTAGACCCAGGGTTCACACCCAGCCAGGCATCCTGACCACAGATTTGCACTGTGTGTCGGTGGTGGTTGTTGTTCGTTGCTGTCAAGTTAGCTCTGTCTCATGGCAACCACATGTACAATAGAATAAAATACTGTCCAGTTCTGCTCCATCTTCATGATTGTTGGTATATTTCAGTCCATTGTGTGCTTATTGTAATGCCTTCCAACCTAGGGGACTCATCTTCTAGCACTATGTCAGACAATATTCTGTTGTGATCCATTGGGTTTTCATTGGCTACTTTTGGAAATAGATCACCAGGCCTTTCTTCCCAGTCTTAGTCTAGAAGCTCCACTGAAATATCTTTACCATGGGTGACTCTGCTGGAATTCGAGGTACCAGTGGCATAGCTTTCAGCATCATAGCAATACTCGAGCCATTACAGTACAACAAACTGATGGACGGGTGGTGGGCCTGTTGGCTAAGAGAGGATAAATGAGGACAAGAGGGGTTTAGTGACCAGACCCAAAATTGAGTTAAACTATGATCAGTTGAATCACCTTGTGAAATTTCCTTTAGGTGACAGCAAACCATAAACGATAACATAATCTGGTCTCCTTGGTAGTGTAAACCCCTGCCCTGCCAGGCCTTCAAGGATCATTTCTGGGCTATCAGCTGCAAGGAGAATTCCTTGACAGGCAGAGGTGGAGCGGTCCCTTTCAGTCTCAGACCTGGCGCTGCTGGTACAATCTGCTGACTGAGGAATCCAGGGAGCTGTTCCTGCTGGGAAGTCATGGGGCCTTCTGCACCTTCCAAGCACAGGATGGCACTGTGAAGGGCACTGGACCCTGAAGCTTTTCCCTCTCCAAGTCAAAGCCCTTCCAGGAGTCAAAGGTTCTTGGAGCCCCTGCAGGAGAAAATTTACATAATCTTAATTAACAAAGAGATGTTAAAAAACTTCCTGGGCTCCTGCAGATTTATGGGGAGGGTAAAATTAAACACCACCACTAAAACTGGCTATCAGGGAATCTCGTTAGCACTAATGTTCATTTATGGTTTGACTTTCCAACATTTCATTCTTTTTTGGTGGGAGAGAGGGACTGACAATTTAAGACCCAGAAAGATGGTTTTATGACTGGTGCAGCTATAAATCAAACTTATAAAGTTCATAAAAATTGTTAAAATAAAAAATGGTTTAATAGGAATGCTTTATGGCCCATAACATTATTATAGCTGTTTTATTCCCTCTGCGTTAGGGGTTTAATTGGATCGCCACAATTCTGGGGATTCTCCATTTTTATTCGATGGAGGGTAATCTTAAATCAAAATGGCCCCAAATGTCTTCAATATGGCTCCTCATTTATCAGCCCTCACCCTACAGGCTGGGTGTGGAGCCTGTGACCCCTCCCAGAGAACGGGGCATGACACCAAGAACAGCTGTGGGTTTTTGGTGAAATCACTCAAAGTGACCCAGGTGTTAGAGGACCCAGGGCAGAAAGAGAGAGAAGCCAAAAGGAAAAAAAAAGGCTTCAGATCAGTATGACTTGAAAGACAATCCCAAATTAGGGCATAATGAAGAGAACATGTGCTCTGGAGCCCGAAAGGCCTGGCTACAAATCCAGGCCCTACCATGTATTAAGTGTGTGCCCCAAAGATGTTTCTTAGCCTCCCTATACTCATTTCTTCATCTGCAAAATGGGAATAATTGTATAACACACCAGATTGGTGGCATGCTAGCCTAGCCCAGTGCTCTCTAAGAGATACAGTGCAAGCCACAAATGCAAACAGAAGTGTAATTAAGATTTTCTACTAGGCAGATTTTTGACAAGTGAAAATAAACAGATGAAATTAGCTTTAATAATATATTTTATTTGACCCAATATATCCAAAATAATGATTTCAATATGCAATCAATATAAAAAATTATCAGTGAGATGGTTTATATCTTTTTCTTGAGACTAAGTCATTGAAATCTGGTGCGTATTATACACTCACAGCACATCTCACTTCAGACCCTTACAGCGTGTCTCAGTTTGGACTACCCACATTTCAAAGGCTCCAGAGCCATGTGTGCTTTTAGCTATCATGTTGGACAGCACAGCTCTAGTCCAGTAATACTCAACAGTAATTGTGATTTCTAGTATCCCTGAACTGCTTACTGGCCCCCTGCCTGACATCTATTCCATAACTTTCTAGTACTGTTCAAATTCCCAAACCATTTACACTCACCTGCACTGTACTTTTTGTACCCTCTAAGGTGTCAGACCGGTCAGTGGTGGCTCTGGTCCCCAAACAGACCTCCTCCTACAACATCCCTGCCTCTGCCAGCATCTCAAGGACATCCATCAGCAGATACGGTGAGGACTGGGAAGACAGTCTGAGCAGCTCCAAATGGCATCTTCTGTGGCCTACCAGGACCGCTCACCATCCCTCCTAAGAGCAGGAAGCCCTTGCCATGGCTTGGCCTCCATTCAAAGCGCTTTTCTCATTTGCCTCCTTTCTTGCTTAGCCCAGTCATTCCCGGAACAGCCTGTCTTCTCAGAACTGTGGGCAGCAGGTGGCACCATGTGCTCTTCTTTGATATTTAGACCTGGTGAAGGAATTTGAGTGACCCAGAACTAGAGAGGCACTTCATAGGGAGGTCACTTACCCCAGTTTGCCTAGGCCAGTCCCATTTTATACCCCCTTTTAATCTCAAGCATGTCCCAGTTTGGATGATAAATTATCTGGTCACCTCAACCTCTCCACCCTGAAGGGGTGCTATGGCCCGCAGCACCTCTGGGCAGTGAGGTGATAGTGCCTTTACTCTCTTTTATTTCATTTTTCTAGTTTAGTCTACACACTAAGGCCTTGGCCTGCCCAGGTAAAGGATACCCACAGGACTGAACCCAGCAGCTGCTAAAAGGGCTTAAGAAATTCCATATTCTAGACCTTAAGAAGGAAGGGATCCTTTAACTCCCAAGAGAGATCATACAACTTAAAGCTCTTTAGTATCCAGATTTTATTAAAGTCCCTATGAAAAACTCCAGTTGACATTTTACCTATTGATTATTCATTGTTGGCAGCACGGAGAAAGAGGGCTTCCAAATCCCCAAGGGTCTTCCCAGCTCACAGAATTTCTAAATCCTCTTTTTACAAAGGCTTCAGTCTCTGTCCTCATACCAACCAAGGATCCCTAAAATAACCCTCCACAGAGGAGGTCCCGAGACTCCCGTTCCAACTGAAAGTAGTTTATTTTGAGTGAGGGGCACAGGCAGGCAAGAATTCTAAAAGGATTCTAGAGGCAATTATGGTGAATCAGCTACTCAGAGACTTCCTCCACCCCATATCTGCAGACTCCTCCTTCAGGTACACGGGCAGTCCCGACAGTCTGCGATCCCGGGCTCCCATGATCACCCCAGACCTGGAGAGTGGGGTCAAAGTGTGGCATCTGGTAAAGAACCATGACCACGGGGACCAGAAGGAGGGGGACCGGGGCAGCAAGATGGTGTCTGAGATCTACCTGACCCGGCTACTGGCCACCAAGGTAACTCCTGTTCTCCCCAGCCCAGGAGGGTTCCTCAGAAGGGGTTATTTCCTGCCCCTTCACAACATAGTAAGGATGTCATGGTGTCTGCCGTTCAAGGGGACTCTTTCAGAATAGCTAGTCCGGTCTCTGGGCAGCGTTTCCAGAGGATCTACCGCTACTCTTGACCCTTTGACAATAATAGCAATGATACAGTTGCTCTCTGTCCACTCCTCATGACCACCAGTATTCTTCAAAGAGCTGCTCCCTCGCCTCTAGCCTTCCTTACACCTGGATAAACTTCCCGCCATGGTAAACTACATACACAGATCTGCCAGCCTTCACCATCCTTGCCTCTTCCACTCCCTTTCTGGCCACAGTGGGAGGGAACACACCAAGACCTGGTCCTGCCAGTAACCCAGGGGAAGGCTCTGACTCTCCCCCCATCCCTATCCCATCATACTTACCAAATGTTGATGGGCGGGAGGCTGCAGCAGTGTGGAAGCTGTGATCTAAAGCTGTCTTCTAGCTTCCCGAGCAGAAAACAAAAGATGCCTGTAAGTATGGCAATCATCTGGCCCAGATTTTCTAGGCCAGGCTAGATTTCAAATACTCTCTCCCACTGACCCCACAAAAATGCCGTTGAAATTCCACTGCAGTGGCATCCAAATTACAGCTCTCAGACTTGCTCTCAGAAAGTGGCCCAGAAATGCTTTGTCAGACCATGTGTCTCAATTTTTGCTTGCCCTGATGTGCTTACTATACTGACAAGAGACACCAGGAATGCTTCAGAGGTGTGCCTGGAACCTGCAAACTGTGGGACCCAGACCCAGTCTAATCCCTGCTGCAGAGATCCTCTAAGGCTCTGAGGTTGAGGATAGTGCCTGAGGGGTCTTGCATCTAGAACCTTCACCTAGAAACTTCTCCTACAACCCACACACAGACACCACTTATGACAGGCTCCTAAGACCACAAGCCTCTTCACATCTTCCTATCAGACCCTACCCATCCTGCCATGCTCCTGCCCTCTCCACTCAACCCATGGTAAACCTGAACTCGGCACTGACTGTTTTCCTATCACCTGCCCTGAGCCCATCCCACCCGGTGTGGATACAAGCATACACCCAGCATGGGGCTGCAGGTTGGAGGAGAGATATAACCTAGGAATCTGCCCAGTTAGCCCCTTGGCCTCCCTGATGCTCCAACAGCCCCCTTCCCTCCCCAACTGACAGTCTGTGTAGCCACACATTGTAGACAAATTTCCAAGGCAATGTGGGTCCAAGGCACCATCTGGCATGATTGTCTGCTCCCTCCCCTACCCATCCATCTCATGAGCTTTCCCCTCCCCTCCGCTCCCCCAGGGCACCCTGCAGAAGTTTGTGGATGACTTGTTTGAGACCTTATTCAGCACTGTGCACCGGGGCAGTGCTCTCCCCCTGGCCATCAAGTACATGTTTGACTTCCTGGATGAGCAGGCAGACAGACACAGCATCCATGACACAGATGTGCGGCACACCTGGAAAAGCAACTGGTAACCCCTAGGGGAGGCCCCAGCTGTGGGAGGTGGGGACCCATGGGGACCCTGAGATGGGAGGGAGGAGACAGCCTATCCTCTGCCGAAGCTGGATAATCCGAGGCTCCGAGAACAAATAGCACACATATAGTCTGCAGAGTCGGCGTGTCCCCAAAGCTGCTGCCTCTGCCGCCTCTGCCAGGGGGCCAACCTATGGAGGCCAGACACCAGGACTGATGTTTGAGCTCTACCCTTTCAGACTGAGACCCTTCTCCAGCGAGCACCTCCTCCCCTGACTCTGAGATCTGTGACTCTCAGGAAAAGGAAGTCTGTGAACCCATACAAAGCAGCCACATTTGAGACCATGCAAGAGAGCTTCAGAGCTAGGCATTGTAGGGCACAGTGAGCAGGGCAGACTCTAATAGCCTAAGGTACTTTCTAAGATGCAGGGGCCCTGAATTAAACTTAGAGCCCTGGAGAAGCTGGCCAGCTCTGGGGAAAGGCTGGGTAGAGAGTTCGCACCTGCTACAGACTTGAGCTCACTGACTATGAGTATTTCATTGCAAAGTTGATCCCTTAAGGACCAGTTATTACCCCCCGGCGCCATTCAGGAAGCGGCAGGCGGGAAGCATTGCAGGCATGACTTCCCTAAACTCCCCTTCACAGCCAGACCCAACAGGGGGAGAAGCAGCTCCCTCAGGTCCCTGGCAAGCAACTTTTCCCTCCTGAGCCTTGAACCTGGATCACCGACCAAACTCAGACTGGCTTTCAGGTCTGACAGGACTTAGCCAAGGGCTGGCCAGAGCCAAAACCCTCCTGCGTGAGAGAGCACAGATTGAGAATAGAGGAGGTCCAGGCCTTGGGGTTGGGCAGGCAGCCCACGCAGCTGTCTGGAGTCAGCGGTCTCCTCAGAAAACAGAGCCGACACAGATGGGCCCAGGCTGTTATTTGGGAATCCAAAGTCCTAGCAACAAGCAAAATACAGTGGAAAAACCAAACCCCAACCCCATAGATCCCTTCCTTCTCCAGGGTGTTGTGGTTGCTGAGCCCTCCTAATTCTGAAGCTTTGATCACAGTGGAGAGAGATGCAGACCCAGGGTGGTCACGGGGTGAGGAGCCCCCAGGGCGAGCCAGGCAGGCCTTTTATCTCTGTTCCTGGGGGCAGGGGCCATGACTGTTTGCTCTGCTTTTGGGGGATCCCTAGGCCAGCACACGAGTGGGTAATTTTAGGGAAATCAAGAGGAAGCTCTAAGTTCTCCATATCTCTGTGGTGGCCAGACCCAAGTCATAGAAAAGTGCTACCCTGGAGTTACGGCCTCGGAGAGTCCCTTTATCCAGGCCTCAAACAGTGAATGTCCAAGGAAAGGTAATTGAAGTTCCCCAAAACTGCCAGAGGAAGGGAGGGCTTGGAGCTAAGAGGAGAGTAGCTGATGAGTTGAGTCAAGCCTCTCCACTGAGGCTGTTCCTCCCAGGTTACCAGAAATGAGTGAGCCCTTTGCTGCGGGAGCAGGAGACAGCAGAATCACAATGGAAGAGCTTGAGGTGGATACAACTGATTTCTCCCAAGACATAGGGCTACTGAGACACTTAGGGAAGAACCCAGAGCAGGTGAGGGAGGTGGCAGTCTGGGGAGCTGGAATGCAGCCATCTTGAGAGGAAGAACAAGCCAGGGAGCAGGGCTCAGTCCAGAGAGCCAAAAGAGTGAAGGCCAGCAAGGCAGCTGGAGGAGAAACCAGGTTGGAAAAGGAAGCAAAAACAGCAGCTGTCCTGGTTTTGAAAGCGGGTAAACGGGCTTATCCTCCTTATGGCCAAAGGAGCAGGGAAAATTCATTCTCCTCTGATTAGAACCTTCCCAGTTTCTGAAGCCTCCTAACTACCGGTCAGTCCCTCATAGGGTGGGAAAAACTCGGAGCTACAGTGAGTCATTCCCAGGACACCAACAATGGCCTCCTCTTCTCCCTCTGCCCCTGCCCAGAGGCAGGCATGCCCTGGGGAGAGTCCTGAAAGGCCTTCCCCCAGGGGAGCCAATTCCAAGGCCTAGCCAGGCAGGCCAGCCCTGGGAAGGGGCTTGGGCAGCTGAGCTGGGCGGGGAGCACAGGTGGGGCCCTTTGTGCCCGCTCCGAGGTGGTACCGGGGCTGCCAGCAGCGGCCTTCCGGATAATAGCCACGGGCGGGCACTATGAAGAGACTCTGGGAACCGGTGGCTTTGTCTGCCCCCCTGAGAAAATCGTGCTGTCCTCTGTGCTTGGGCTTCCCTGGGGCATGGAAGCCTTTAGAAAAGACTGCCAGAGAATCCACCCACCCACCTCTCAGTGGTTAGAGAACAGGGTCAGTGCCCCATTGGGTACAATGGGGCCTTCCTTTCCTCCCCGGGTCGGGTCGGTAACAGCATGGGCTGAATTAGCAGCCCCTGGCTGGACCAGTTTCCTATGATTTCATTCCTTGATCTTCTGACACATGGAGGCTGGATTTTGCATCTGGGGTGAGGGGAGGAATATTAGTGGACAGCATTAGGGGACCTGAGAAACACCCTTGAACCCTTGGGGTCTGCTTTGCTTTCCCACAGCCTCCCTCTGCGGTTCTGGGTGAACGTGATCAAGAACCCACAGTTCGTGTTTGATATCCACAAAGGCAGCATCACAGATGCCTGCCTCTCAGTGGTGGCCCAGACCTTCATGGACTCTTGCTCCACATCAGAGCACCGGCTGGGCAAGGACTCACCCTCCAATAAGCTGCTCTATGCCAAGGACATCCCCAGCTACAAGAGCTGGGTAGAGAGGTCAGTAGCATATCGAGGACAGGCCAGTATCCCTGCCTACCTGCTCCACTCCCTACTGTGTGGGCTTTGCTGACCCAGGAACCCTGCTCCCTTCCTTCTCATCTCTCGAGCCTTCTTGTTGTAGGGAGGAGGGGAAGCTTTCTGCTCTTGGAAAGCAGATGATTAATTACCATTTATTGAGCATGAGCACATGTTATTAAGCACCCAGTATTATGACAAGAACTTTGGTGTATCTTTCCATTAATGTGTCCAACAGAGTTGTGAAATGAGTATTATCTCCATTTTGCTATTGCAGAAACTGAGGCACACAGAGGCTAAGTAACTTGCCCAAGATCATACAGCTAGCAGGTGGCAGAGCTGGGATTCAAATACCAGGAGTCTGGCTGGAATGTGGGCTTTTAGCCCTTCTGCTGGGCAGTGCAGCCAAGAGGTCTCAGCTAGATTGCTGGAAAAACTCTGGCCTTCATGTGACCCAGTCTCTAGGTCTCAACCTCAGCTTGAGGCAAGAGGCCAGGGGAAGCCACGTCAGAAGAGAAATAGGGAGGCAAGAGCAGCTGGGGACATCTGATGTTCTCAAGGGGCCCGGGGCCAGGGTAGGTGTAGGCAAATGTTTGCTGAGCCCGCCATCAAGAGCCTGTGCTGTCTACGGCAGATACTACGCAGACATCACCAAGCTCCCTGCCATCAGTGACCAGGACATGAATGCCTACCTCGCCGAGCAGTCCCGCCTGCACGCTGTGGAGTTCAACATGCTGAGTGCCCTCAATGAGATCTACTCCTATGTCAGCAAATATAGTGAAGAGGTAAGGCAGAGCCTTGGAAGGGACCAGGATCAACCCACAGAGAATGCGGTTAAACAGAAGGCTGACTCAAGCCTTAAATAACAACAATGGAGGGTAATTTAGAAAACACATTCATAGAGTCAAAAACCAGTGAACTCCAAAATCATTTTCATTCCTTTATAAGGCAGCTTATCGTCACCTGATTCATTGAATGCTTTCTTAAGCATTTCATTGTCTTTCATTCATTGTCTGGTAATACAATAAATAACACGTTTAATAATTTCATTGTTTTTTCAGTTCAAAGTGTTGTACGATTAATTTCATTCTTTCTTAAACAGTGACTCAACTATTGTTTGCATTTGGGCAGATCCTGTCAATTACACTTCAGTTAGAGAGGTGGACCCTACCATGAACAGAGGTTGAATAGCACAGTTTCTGAGAGTTCTCAAGTCACGCGTTAGCATTGAACCTGACAGTGGTAGTAGTCATGGTAGTAGTAATAACTAGCACTTCCCTAGTACTTCCTATGTGCTGTGCCAGATGTTATTGTTCTAAACACTTTAAATATGCATATTTATGAACACACACATATATAGGAGATCTGGTGGCGAGTGCCTAAGGCATTTGACTGCTAACCAGAAGGTTGGCAGTTCAAATCCACCAGCCACTTCCATGGAAGGAAGTTGGGGCAATCTACTTCCATAAAGATTTGCCGCCTCAGAAACCCAATGGGGGTTGCTATGAATTAGAGTTGACTCAATGGCAGTGGGTTTGGTTTGGTTTGGCTTTATACACACATATATACATTTACATATGACTGCTAACGGAAAGATTGGCAGTTCAAACCCACCCAGAGGCATCTCAGGAAGATAAGCCTGGTGATCTGCTTCCAAAAGTTCACAGCCTTGAAAACGTTATGCAGTAGTTCTACTCTGACACATATGAGGTTGCTGTGAGTCAGAATCGACTTGGTGGCAACTAACAACACACACACACACACACACACATTCAGTTAGGCATTTAAATTATCAATCTAAGGTTATGTTCATCAAAGCAGAAGGAGAGGTTGATAGAAGAATTTCAAAAAATGGCGGCTTCTGTACTGCATCCTGAAGTCCCCCCAACTGTGTTCTTGTTCCTCAGCTCATCGGGGCCCTAGAGCAGGATGAGCAGGCCCGGCGGCAGCGGCTGGCGTACAAAGTGGAGCAGCTCATCAGTGCCATGTCCATCGAGAGCTGAGAGGAGGAGCCTCTTCCTGGGAAGAGGGACCCGTCAAAGCTGTCACACCAGGAATCTCAGAAGGAAAGGCAAGCAAAGGGGTTCAGGCCCCAGAGCTTGTTGTCCCCTGAGACCCATCCTGGAGAGAGGGGATGGCCCCCTCCCCACGCCAGCCAAGTTTCATCATAGCCAGTTCCTGCCAAGAGAGAGAGCAGGCATCATGCATCCACAGTGAGGACGAGAGACAGGGGCACTGAGAAGGTGGTTTCTTCAAGCTGAGAGGCGCGAGTGGGGACACTCCACCTCTGTGACTGCTGCTTTGCATGGAAACTCATTTGATGTATATTGGGGAAATAATGAAAACTTTATTTAATTTTTTTTAAGAAAAAGAAAAGAAAAAAACAGAAATAAAACAAAACAAAAAGCCACCCTGTCAATCCCGTCCAACTTTTGTTTAATTCTGTTTTCTGTTCCCCTTCTTTTCCTCCATCCCTCCTTCCTCATACAACTCCTCTCTCCAGTCATCAGAAAAAGCCTACGAAGAGATGCCAATAGAAATGTGAGGGAAAATGATGGTTTTCTTTCTCTCAAAATTAAGAAATAGGAAGAGGAGGAGGAGGAGGAGGAGAATGAGCACAAGTTTGCACCAAACATTCGGTAAAAAAGAGAGGCCAGTCAATTATCCCAGCAGCCAAAGAGCACAGGAACTGTAGACCTTTGCACCAGTTGCAAAGCCATTGGGTGAGTGGCTCAACCTGGCTGACTGAAAATTGAGCTTTATATACCACACACCTGTACATTCTCATCTCTCCAAAGGAGATGTGTATCTATAGAGTACCAATGCTTTTTGCTACTGTTTTTTGTTTGTTTTGTTTTATTTAATCTCAAGCCCCAACAAATGAGGACCTGACCTTGGTACTTTGCCTTGGTTTCCCCAAAATTTCTGTCAGAAGTAGGAGAGAGGCCTCTCCCAGACTGGACACCAGGCCTCCCTGAGGACATGGAGTGGCTCTGCTCACATCAGTCCTTGCTGTAACCGGCCTCCATGAGGAGAGGACCTGGAGATGTGTGGACCAGGTCTCCAGAAGGTTCCATGTGGGAGCTGATTTGGGGATATGGGTGTGTGGCGTTGGATTCCTCTCCAATCATCCAGTGGTTTCTTGCAGTTAAAAAGAAAACAAAAATCAAACACTGTTTACAGCAAGCAATACTTGAAGAGACTAGGTTAAAGAAGCTGCAGTATTTATTATGCTTTCTTTCTGTCTCATTCCCTTGTGCATGGAGAAGGGAGACTACCCTTGGCTCATATGTGGACACCCTGACTGTCTGGGCCTACAGCAGTTGCCTTGAACGAGACCAGTAGAAATTACTTAGCTTCCTCATGTTACTGTCTTCTTTTGCCTCTTTCTGCCTTTCATGGACTTGTGGGTTTGAAGTACAAGGACAAGTGGGTGGCTTATCTCTGGGCTCCTCTCCTTATCTCTCTCATCTGTTGACACCTACAGCCATGGACAACCCACTCTCTTGAGTGTAGTTTCCAAACACAGAAACCAAAGCTCCATGCCTCTGTCCAGAGGCCCCAGAGAAGCCAATGAGGGTCATGCAGAGGAAAGGCAGCTTTGTTGGCAGCAGGACCTTGGTGACTGGGGCAGCCATCAGAGTGCCCAGGCTTCACACATTGGCATGGATTCAAGCAGCCAGCTCCAGCTTCTCTACTAACAGAGTGAAGGAGTACGGACAAGAGCAAAGCAAGGGAAAGGCAGGGTGGCAGGGAGGAATAGAGGAACAGCCTCCCCATCCCACCTTCTACTTTTTAAGGGACCAGGAATCCCAAGCTGCAATGCTGGGAATCAGCACCAGCTTTCCCAAGAGAGACTGGGCCAGGGTGACTTCCTCTGTAATTAACTCTGGGTCTCAGCCTAACCTCCAAGCAATTTCACTTTCCAAAGGCTCTGCTGACCACATCTGAATCCCAGGAAAGAGCTGGGGGAGGGGAAGCTTTGAGGGCTGGCTTCCATCCCTGGCGTGTGGCTTTGGATCGCTGTACTAGCCACACTGCAGACATCACCTGGTCTTCTCAGCTCCAGTTTCTTGCCTGAATGCAGCTGACAAATGAGAGGAGAAAAGCATTCAGCAAAATACTCAGGAAACTTGCTGTTTTCATTATAATTCACAACCTGCCATGCCAAGGCCACTTTCTTCTGATAATCCACTTCTGTTAAAGTTTCTTGGGGCCCTGTTAATAGCCTGAAAGAAATACTAATGACTGGCCTTTCTCACTAAGCCAAAGTGTTCACTCTTCGCGCTTCGTAACACCCAAAGCTATCAGCTCAGAGCCCACGACTGATGGAGATGAAAGGAGAGGAGAAACAGTGAAAGGAATTTGAGCAGGAGACTTTGTGCTACCCACAAAAATATTCCAGCCCACCCTCATTTCACTTCTGAGATCTGTTGGAATGAAAGTTTGCTGATACACCCACACTCAGACTGGCACCTAAGGTTTTAAGTTTTGCACCACCAGGAAGTAAAAGGAAGTTAGACACCTCAATCACATTGTAATCAAGGCTTACTTCTGTGTATCTACCTGGGTGTCTCCCAGCACTACTTTTGGTGACCATTCAGTGCCCCTGGAAACACTTCCTGGAAGGTTTTTGAAGAGTGTGGAAAATGATGGTGGGATGGCCAGTTGGAGAGTGGAGAGGAAAAGAGTGAGAACTGGTGATGAGTGGTTTGGCCACATTTCTCCAAACTCCGTGAGAGAGCTGAGGAACTTAGGCTCACAGAGGAAGTGGCACGGGGGCATACTTAAGAAGGGACTTGAGAAAAAGGAAAACTCAGCTGGATTCAATCCAGGCCATGAGGGTGGAAGGTTGTAAAGCCTTGGTCCCTGTCTAGTTTCCCACCTATCTGTCCTCTACTAACTCTTGGCTTTGGGTCACCAAGAACCCGCACCCCAAGGAATAGAGAGGAGATGGATGCTTAGCCTCTCTTGCACTATTAGCCACTGTGAGGATGTGTTGACCTTGTGTCAGAAAGAAGTATTAAAACCACAGTCCTTCCCACATGAAGCCATCCACCTTCATCCATTTTTGGAAAAGGCAAGGAGAGAAGACCCTCTCCAAAGTCCAGCATTGCTTTGTTTGGTTGATCTGTGCAAGAGTCAGTTCTCTGGTAAAGGACCTTTAAAGGCAAGACAGAGATGCTGAGATGACTAACCTGGCCAATGGCCAAGATGAAGAGCAAGTCCCTCCCGCTGCTGCCTCCTGCCATCTGCCTGGGGGTCAGGTACCTCTATTGGTTATCCTACCTCCCCACAGCATCCCACTCAGCACCATTCTGACCCACCTCTGGTAGAGATCCCCCACTCCTTACAGAGTTTAGTCATTAAAAGCATGGGCTAGCTGGTAAACTCACTGGTGAGAGAGGGAACTGTTTCCTGTATCCACTCTCTCAGGAGACCTCGAGAAGCAACTCTTCCTAGGCACTGTTTTAGGTGCTGGGAAACAGCGATGAACAAGACAGACAGGTCCCTCCTCCAGCAAATTTGCTTTCTTTCAGGCTGGCCGGTTCCTGCCAACAACTTCCAGGTACAGTTCTCGTCCCCAAACCGGTAGAGGATATATGTTTGTAGAAATGGGGATCAGAGGAGGAAGGAAGCCTCCCAACCCAACTGCCTTACCTAATTCTCTGGACACTCCTCCAATAATGAGAGCCACTCTCCTTTCCACCGCTCCATCTCTTCTGGCAGCTCCTCCCCTGCTGTTCAATTTCCTGACCTTTCTGCAGTTCCACCAAATGAGAACTACAAATGCCAGTCAGGCCTCTAATCCCACTGAGCATGAAGCAGAAGCAATGGATGGGTATGTAAGACTGAAAATGGTTTGGATAGAACACACATGGAATGACTGAAAACTTCTGGCAGATAATTGTCCAGGTGCATTCCAGTGCCACTCCTGCCCCCACTCACCTGCTCTAGGGGGAGGATTTTTTTCTTCTTCCAGCCACACTGTTATACCTGAGGGTCCTGGGGCTGGCCAAGGGGAGGACAGAACTAAGATTGAGGGCCTCTATGGGTGAGAAAATGCACAATGGCCTAAAAGACACAGAGCTGTGTGGGTGAATCCCATCAGGGGACTTGGGAGATATGGTTCAGGTCCTTCTAGTGCCACAGGAGCAGGCTTTGAGGAAAGGGTGGCATCTTCATGACTCCAAAGTCTTTCCTTCCTGCCTCCTCCTTCCTCTGAGTTTCTCCAAAGGTTGATATCTTAGCATCTGGGGCTTCATGGTCCCATAATGAAGGATCTAGTTCACTTTTGGTATTTTCAAACTAGTACTAGGGAAGATCCTGAGAGATAAATAAGACCCCTGCTTGTTAGACAATAAGCAAACTGGAGACTCCTTAGCCTCCCGTGCTCACCACATCTCATTCTCTTCACCATAAAGAAGTTCTACCTTAAGACTAAGCTCTCCTTTTCTGCCACAGTGCAGTCTGTTCCCTCCCATTCTCACCTCAAAGGAGATGGGAAGCATAGTCTGGATTTCAGTCAAAGTCCTGACTTTTGCATTACTTGCCCTCCATATTGGCATTAAAGATGGAGAACCTAAGGGCGTATAGTCCTGACCAGACAGGAGAGATGTTCCCCAGCGTGGAGGAGAAGAAGGGACAAACTCTCTAGACTACTGAGACAAGGGACCTGAGCCCACCTGACTCTCCCCCCCAACCTGTCCTCGCCAAGCCCACTCTTCTTGACACACTGGAATCTGTATTATATATTTTTAAGAAAATTCCATGATGGCTGTCTGGTTTTGTTGTTTATACAGGTGTTGTGGAATAAAAACTGTAAGAAAATTAAGTATTTAAAATGTTCCAATAAAATGGGGTTTTTTGTTATTCTAATATATTACTGTGTACCTATTGTAAATATGAAACACTCCTATTTTGCAAGCCGAGGACACAATTTGTACTGTTGTTATATATAAATAAAGTTTACTGGATTAAAAAAAAAATGAAATCTTCAAATAAACCTGGTGGTTTCTGCAGCATGAATGCACAATAACATTCCACAAGCATATGTAAGAAACAGGGTACTCAGAGCAAGATGAGCTAAGTTTTAAGGGACTTCTAGAATTCTCTGTGGAGTCAGAGCTTATTAATGTCCATTCATCATCATCACCAACACACACACACACACACACACCCCACACACACACACAAGCTTATACACTGCTCAGGCTTGTACCAATAGGTGAACACTGCCCCCTAGCCCTAAGACCCCAGAATACAGTTGTCCCCCAAGTGGAGGCTGATAGTACAGACTCTGGATTGAGGCCCTTTCTTAGGGACCAAGTGAAGTCTCAGAAGAATGAAGAACTCCCCTATACCTCCAAGCTTCCCTGAAAAGTACATTGATTCATTTGCACAACAGACATTTAT